CATCTGACATTTTACTTGAACAAATTTGAACTCTTTATATTCCTGTGAAGTTGAGTCTTCACGGTTTGTCATATAAATTACTGAATACTTCTATTTCCCAAATCACAGGCTGGAATCATCTCCATTTGCCCCTCAGATGAGTGAAAACATGCAATCAATTCCGTATCTCTAATATTTTTTTTTAAAACAAATGACTGGAGCACTCAGCCCTAAATGGAACATGTGTATCACACCTCTCCCCTTACCCATCAAAGGTATGGACCATCAAGTAAGAGGGCACACAGAAATTTTAAGGGCCAGGGGTTAGGAGAACCTATTACACCGTGACATAGCACCTTCCAGACGCATGACAAACTCACATCAGCGGTGGTTGCCTGTACAAGATCAAACCAGATAATGTTCCAGCATGGATCACGATGAGTTCTCAAGGCCCCACCCCAACTGAAGAGTTATAGTCAGCTGATGGCCGGTAGGTGAGGAAACATTTTGTTTAGGGGTCTTGCCTCTCCTTAGATTGTGCATGTGCCAGTGGATAGCTCTACACCTGTGGCAAACGGGCAACATGAACTGGACCTCATGGGTTATGAAAGAACAAGATATGAAGTTAAGATGGGAAAGTGGTAGGAGATATGAGAGGAGCTGGAGGGGGAAATAGGGAGTAGGTATAATAAAAAATATATTGTACAAAAGTCTCAAAGAATGAATTTTAGAAGAAAAAGGAACATTGCTGGGTGAATCTCTTTTTATCCCCACAGTTACTCCCTTAGTTCCTTATACAATCATCTCTCCCTTTTTCAGCAGCCCAGCACACAGAGAACCAACAGACATTTTCAGGGTGAATTTGATAAGAAAAAATATATATAGTAGGAAAGAATGGAAATTTTCTAAAATTGTTACCTCCTGAAAATTACAGGTCATCCTAACTCCATTTTAAATTCCCTCTCCTGACTCATTTTCCAAACTAAGATGTATCCTCTTGATTTCCACCATTCATTAACCACTTTAGTCTATAGGATAAAGACAAGGTTCCACGACCGTCATCACAGACTACTCAAAATTAGGTACATGCCCCCCCCCTTATCCTTTTTTTTTGAAAAAGGCTTCATCCTGCAAGACTTTTTTGTTTATTCATTTTACATACCAACCACAGTTCCCTTTCCCTTAAAATCCTGACAGTTACAAGACATCCACAAACCTACATTTTCACTAAAGCTACTGTCTCTATCAAGATCGCTCATTTGCTCTGTGCTGTCCACCTGAAATAGCTTACTTAATTGTCCAAACTCAGCCCCTGTCTAGTTTCCCCTTTAAAGACTGCTCGCTTTTCTGATCTCAGCCTTACTGTCTGCTCTTTTGCATGAAGCTTTATGACTTATCTCTTCTGTCATCGTACTGATAGCATCATTTCACACTTGTTGAAAGGCTTACACTCACCCAAATGCCTTTCCTCCTTGAAATCAGAGGGCTTCGACTCATTAACTTGGAAATCATCGCATTCCTCAGATGTTCAAATATGCATAAATGGGGAAGTCTATGAATGATATAATCATATTTAGTTTTTATTAATAATACTTGTGTCAGGGTGGCAGCTACAAGGTTGGAAATAGAAGGAAGATGGCCAGCCAGTAGAGGATAGTTTGGGAGAAACTGGAAGGGCAGAGAAAGCAGCAAACGACAGAAAGAGATATATCTGGAAAAATATTTCTAATCAAATGAGCAAAATTTAATGGTCATTCGGGGGCAGGAGAGGGGAAGGATGACTCCAGGGTCTCTAGCTTTGGTGGAATATTCTAGTTTAAAGTATTTATGAATTCTCATCCATAGTACTAAATCAGGCTAAGACACTGTGCAATGTGATGCTAGATGGATATGTCGGCATGGGATGCATCTCACAGCGCTTCCTGTGAGAGTCCTCAGGACTGACCACGTTTGCCATAGTGAAACAAATTTACCTTAGGGACCCTATTACGAACTCCTGCAACCACCATAATTCTTGTAAATTTCCCCCAAATAAGGGCAATTTAAAAGAAACAAACAACCCAAAGAAATCATCTCCTATTTTAAGAGCTCATCTAGTTAATTGTGTCACATCTGAAGACAGAGCACACTGCTGCCAGGGGACTCCTAAAGAGCAGGAAGTGCCTGGATCACCTAAGGCCCGCAAATTCAGAGGAAGAAGTCACTTGAAGCAGGTCACCTCTGTTCTTGCCAGCATCCTTACCAGTAATCTGGGATATATACTCGTAAGATCACATTCAGACCATTAAAATATCATTATAATAATTATTTTCACATATTTTAACAGAAATTTCTCTTTACCTGAAGTATAATATTAAACACAGTTCTCTCATTTCTTGGCAGTGGAAACCCTGGGCTAACCAAGTAAATTCATCCCTGAAGCGCCTCATTAATCACAGTGTACTTGTTCTTGGCACGGACCTTAATACGCTACAAAAACCGTTATTAAAGTAAGATTTGAGGATTCCCAGGCAGGCAGGGCATTAGTTAGTTACACCTCCCTAGAAATTATTTTCTTACAGTTTCCTGTAAAGGTCTTATTAGGCTTACAGCTCAAAGTAACCTTGCTTTATTAATTTAATGTGTAAATTCCTGCTATTCAAAACCTCATTTAAAGTCATAAGTAGTGATTACCCCTCTTTGCCCGGGCTCTGCAGTGGTTGTGTGCCATCTTCCCAGGAGCTGACTCTGTCCACTCTGATTGCATGCTAGGGCAGATCTCGCATCACTATGTAGCTGAAATGCTCCAACCCTACAGCCGCAAGGCTTTTGGAAGCATTATGGAGAACCTTATATTAGCAAAACTGTGCTGGCTCCTAATTCACTGACCAAAGCTGGCTAACAGGCAAAAGCTTAAAACTAGAACCTTTGAAAACAGCCATTTGTTGAAGTGTAAAAAGTCCCAGAAGCCCAGAATAACTGACTTAACAACCAGATACAAAAAGAAAATATTGTATCTCGAGAAATGTTCATTCGTGTTTATAAACAATGCTTAGGAGACATCAACATGTTCTACTATGGTGGTTGTGTCTCTGAATCCATAACACGCAGTTTACCCAGATAAAATGCAATGTATTACATCATATGTAAAACTCAAAGTCATGACTATTTTGAGCATGTTCTAAAAATATCATCATCCATACTGTAGACATTTCCTGCAAATTAAGCATCATGGCTGCTAAATTTTTCAGTATATTCAGACAGGTCAAAATAATTTATTAGGCTCATTAAGTACTAGATTAATTGCATATCAACCCAAGGAGATGTGCTTAACAAGTGTCAGTGGTGTTTCCTTTTCATTAATTACATCTTGAGTCCGTGCGACTCTTCCATCCGCAACAGATAGGACTTATACGTTTGGGTGCAATGACGATACAAAACAACATTCCCCGTGGATGCCTTGCAAACATAGAAAGCTGACGGGAATAGTCCACCTAACCTTACACGTTCACATCAATCTGGAACCGTAAAAATTTCCAGACACCAGGGCCCCAGCGTGCAGACACGACCAATTTCCTGAGTTCTACCTGGTCATATTTCAGGTTTGCCTATTTACAAAACCAGTCCCTTCTCTCCGGTTAGTATTATTTTTTAAGTTTCCTGGGTTGGTGCCAATTCTTCATTCCAGGGGAGGAATAAGTATAGGATGGCAAGCTTCATTTCTGAACGAATTTTTTTGTGTGCCCCAAACATATTTTACTAAGAAACAAGGAATCAGTCAGCATGTGCCTGCAACTTTCTCTGACGGTCTCCTAAGGCTAATGTATTTCTCTTTAACATAAGGAAGGGAGGGACGCGGAGGGTGTAAAAAGACGAGCGTTCTTTAAAAACAGTGAATTAGACAGGGTGTAACGGCATAAAGACAACTGTAAATCGTCCAGATAAACCTAACTCTAACAGGAGATCGAATGAATGGACGTTGTGGGAAAAACAGTAGTAAACTTTAAAGCCACTGAAAGGTTTTTAACGCCTAAGGGAAAAATAAACATTTGCTTCCAATCATTTTCTCATTAAGCATTCTCTGCTAGATGGCAAAGCTTACTTAACACATGCACGCGCGCGGGCACACACACACACCTACACACACACACATACTACACACACACACACACACACACACACACACACACACACACACACACACCACTTTGTCTCAGTGCCATAAATGCCAACTGAACCCAGTGCTTGATCCAGGTCAGAACTGACCCCTTGAGTCTCTGCCGGGACACTGTGGGCCATGTTCCCGAACCCACGGTTCTCCACTTGCTGCTGCAGCTGAGTGGAGCAGAGCTTGCATGGCCCGCTAGCACTCCTAGACTCAGGCCACCTTTCTGTTGCAAAGACGACATGCACTGACAGATTTTCCGTTGGTGACAGCTGTGATGGTGGCCAGGCGTGTTTCCGGGCGGGCGCGCTTAAAACCTGGTCTCTCTCTCTCCACCATGTAGCAGCTTCCTGTGCTGGACCTCCAGGGCTGACTGTGGACCCACCCTTCACCTTCTCCTCTCCACTCCATCCCTCACCTCCTCCCCTGTCCTATACACTCTCCAGCCTCAGGTTGGTGCCCATCCTCCCAGAGCGTTGCCCAGCTCCTGGGCGCCCCACTCAGTTAAGTTCACGTATGTCAAGACCTAATCACTCCCGATTATCTGAGTCGTCTAAATCCTGCTTCTGCCTCAAATCACACAGGTACCTGGAACTGACCGGCAGTTTTTTTGGGTGCTATAGGGCAACATGGTTCAAGCTGAACAAGTGCGAGAGGTGGGACAAGAGAGATGGAGGGCTCCAGAGGGCTCTATCGCGAACACGTGCAAAGAAATAAAAACCACCACGTGTGTGTATGTGTGTGTGCGCGCCCGCGCGCGCGTTTCCGCGCCTCCAGCCAGGGCGCGGGTTCCAAGTGCACCCCAGGGGTTCAGGCGCAGGGGGCTCCCCCACAGTGGGTTTGGTTGGGGGGCGCACGGGGGGGGGCGGGTACTCACACGAACGCGTGGTAGACGAACGCCCAGCCTCGGGGTCTCTCCAGCACGTTGTACAGATAGTTCTGCACCCGCCGGTACTTGACGTTGCGCCGACAGCTCTGGCTGCTGGTGTAAGAGAGCGGCTTCCCCAGCAGGCTCATCCGGGCCCCCTGCTTGCCCCGGCGGCTCTCTCTCAGGCCGCCGCCACCTCCTCCGAGCGCCGCCGCGCGGGTGCCGAGCAGCAGCAGGCCGTCGCCCCTGGCGGCCGCCGAGTTCAGCAGCACCCTGCCACGGCCGGACTCCACATCCTTCATGCCGCTGCCCGGGCGCCCCCCACCCGCCGCCGCCGCTGCCGCGCCGCTCCTCACCCAGAGCCCGGCGGCACCGCCCTCCTCTCCTCCCGCGTGGTGGCGGGGCATGGCATCACCACCGGCACCGTAAGGGGGGCGCCGGCGCCTGCGGCGGGGGCAGGGGCCTCATGTGCACGGGCAGGTCGGCTGGAGGAAGCCCGCAACCGACGGGGCGCCCCTGGGGGCAGACGAGCTCAGTGCCCGGGCTTCGGGCGGGGGCGGTGGGGTGTGCGGAGCAGGCCCCGGGAGGTCCGGATTTCTGCCCCCCTGCCAATTCCAAATCCGGACCTGTTGGGGGCGTCACTTTGAGAGGTGTCCCTTGATCTCCTTTAGTTCCCCGGCTGCCACTCCCTCCTCCCCGAGGGTCCGCGGGCCGGTCCGGGGGCTTGCGGGGTGCCCCCAAAGCACGCTCCCACGCGTGTACACCCAGCCGGTGTCGGCTTAGTCCGTATCCTGCTCCCCCCGGCAGAACACCAGCCTGATCCTAATTCCGTCTCCCGGGCTGGAGTTTGGGTGGGTTCTTCCTGAGGCTTGGAGCTGTCCGGAGAGTGAAGTCCGCCCTGTGCCTCGTGAACAAACTGGACCAGCAGTTCTCTGGTTTTCTCCCGCCGCTATGCCACGGTTGGTCCTGCCATCCTCCCGCAATGGGTGTGGGCAGAAGCAACTAAGTCCTGCCCTCCAGGTGCTGGCTAGCCTTTGAGCGAGCCAGCAGGGCGACGCTTCGGGTAGTTGCGCTTGGGTTCCCGCGCTGGGGACCAGTCCTCCGCAATTCAATGGACACACCCGGAGACTGACAGGCAGGGACCCGGCAGCTTCCCTCGACTCAATCCAGCCTGCAGGCTGTGACTTTCCATCCTAGCCTTAGACAGCATACCCGAGAGTCACGGAACATCCTTCCCATCCCCAGGGATGGGGTGTGGGGAGGGCGTAAAACTCCAGAGCGGTTCCTTTGCGGTGAGGGAGCTGCCATGCGGCTCCTGACAGAGAAGCCTGGGAAAATCAAGAAATTTCCATTTAAGTGGGAGAAAGTCACAAAACTGCTTAAGTCTCCGCAGCAGCGGTGGCGTCCCCAATGAGTGGGAGAGGAATCCTAGAGGGTGGGGAGCCCAGGACCTGCCTCTTACCCAAGGTTAGAGACTTGTTAAGGGGAACCACTGACTGGGTCTCACACCATCTCTGGCAGATGGGCGCCCCAAAGCCCGCGCTCTTGGCTGAGAGTGAAGCCAAGGTACTGCTGGCTGGAAACGCTGGCTTTCAAAAACATTGTTAGCGAGTAAACAACAGATTCAGCCTGGGTTGGGGAAACTGAGAGCACGCCAGGCTTGGGAACTACTTCCAAAAGAGCAGCCTTCCTCCCAAACATGGAAAAAAAAAAAAAAAAAAAAAAAACCACCAAGCTCAACTGAGCTATGCTTTCAGTAGAAAGCTGTGGTAGACAGTAGCAAGGTGGTTATTCCGTGTGCCCTTTTCACTTCCTTTAATATTAAGCAATCCTAAGGCAAAAAACAATCTTATCTCGGGTTGTTTCAGCCTTAGCAGATAATACTCTACCAACACCCCCTCCCCACACACACACAGTGCATACACCCACGCCTACGGACAGCTGCTCATTGCAACCAAAGTGTCAGCTGAAAGTTTTACTTTTACTTTTGTCGTTGTTGCTTTGTGAAGACACCCCTCCCTGACTCTTAGAGTCAGCAAGACCTTGCTTTCCTTAAAGGCTCCGGGCAGTAGGCACTACTAACTCTGAGCTCTGTGCAGCTGGCAGCCATACCACGTGACTGTGAGCCGAGCACCAACACCCAGAGTCACTCCTACTTTCCCCTAATACACTTCACACCCACACACCGTGGAGGTGCTAGAGAGATTGCTCCGCGCCCTGCTATTCAAGGCAAATGCGGAGAGCATCCTGGAATAAGCTCTGCAATCCTAGAGCTGCACGGAGACCCTGGCTGAAGGCGGGGAGAGTTCGGTGCAACTATATTTAGACTCCCCACGGAGTTTCTGTGCAGGGACTTTCAGGGTGAAAGATGTAGAGACTTAAAATGACTCGTGTGCACGCCTCGAACGTGAAAAAATCTTAGTTTTTTTTTTCTGAAAATAGGAAAAATGAAAAGGCCACTTCCCCTTAACGAAGCTGTTTTCTTTGCTGTAAGCTTCTACTTCTGTGGTTAGATCACCTTCGCTTCACTCAGAAGCTGGGCCCCACATACAGGCAGGAAATCTCCGAAAGGCAGGACACTAGAGCATGTTTCTCCTCCAGAAGGCTCCAGGAAGTCAGCTGCCTAACTTCTAAATGATGCTTTTCTTGGATGCAGGAATGAACCAGGGAAGCTATGATGTCTATTCCGAAAACGCCATTAAACTGGGATGGGAGGGTGGGAGAGACAGCTTTGATTAGTAAGGGTTATAGCTGTTGAAGACATTTTCAACTATCTCTTCTGAGTGTGATCCATTTAGTTACAAACCCAGAGAAGGGAGCCTGATGGTGTATCCAGCAGGAGTTCCTGGATGAGGCACTTGGAACCCAGCATCCTGGCTCCCAGTTACAGGACCCATTCTTCAGATCCAAGCAAATGGACCAAACATCACAGGGCAGGGCTGTATGTACAGCACTGCCTACTACCTCTGGAAAAGGCTGCTCTAGGTGCAAACCCCAACTAATCATTCTGCTCATCCATTTCCATGAAAGCAAGATCAAGTGGTCTGTTAAGACCTCTTGCTGGGCGTTGGTCTCTGCCATGCTTTCTTTGCTATCCAGTAACTTCCCTCGATGGCTAAAAGTCAACTTGGAGGAAAATAAACTATTCGTAATTAAACTTTGTTGTTATTGTTGTCCCTAGTCCTATGAATAACGTGTTGCTAGGAAATTACCTTTTCTTTCTTTTTCTGAAGTAGCAGTATAGAGAGTAGTCATAGTGAGGCGTGTATAAAATAATGTAACATATGTTTCATGAACAATAATTATATTAAAATATTACAAAGAGGTAATGGTAAGGGTACTTGACAAACCCTTTTATTTATTCATTCATGCATTTATTTATTTATTTTGGTTTGTACAATAGGATCTCGCTCTGTAGCCCAGGTTATCCTAAGGCTACATATTTAGCCTAGGTTGACCTCTAACTGGTCATTATCCCCTTGCCTGTGTCCTAATTGCTGGGATTATACATAAGAGCCAGCAGACCTGTGCAGAGAATCCCTTGTTTAAAAACCAGTTTTAATTGCTAGTGTAGAATGTGTGGGTTGACTGGCAGTCCCTCATCCTTTCATATGGTTTCACTTTAACTGGGTGGTGGTGGTACCTGCCTTTAATCTCAACACTAAGGAGACAGAGGCGGGTGGATCTCTGTGAGTTAGAGGCCAGCCTGATCTACAGAGTGAGTTCCAGGTCAGTCAGAGCTACACAAAGAACCCCTATCTTGAAAAACAAAACAAACAAACAAACAAAAAAAAACAGAAAAAAGAAAAGAAGGAAAAAAAGGTTTTGTTTTCAACTATTCCTGTGACCTTGGAAAGTAAACCCTCTAAAGTCTGTATAGAGATGCTTTCAGTTGAATATAGTAACTAGAAAATATTTCATACCAATGTGCTTTCTGTTCTGTTCTATTTTCTTTCTGAGCAGTACTCTGGAATATCATTAGAAATGACCCACGTACGCAAGAGATGCACTTAAGTGTTTTAGCACTTGGGGGAAAAAAAAACAAATTAAATAGCTATGAATTTCAGTCAAAAGCCAGAGAGACTTCATTATACTCCTCCTTTTCTTTTTCTTCATGGTAACCCTTCTTACCCTTTGTCTTCATCCTCTGAACACAGCACAGACTCACAATCAAAGTCACATACATAGTGCTGATCAGCTTGTATGGTGTCAAAGGCACTCTCCAGGGATACAGATGTACTGGTGTGAGAGTCCTGGCTAATGAGTGTAGCAATGATAAAGGAAGTTGAAAACCTTAGAACAATAAGAAAATTTACTAACAGAATATAATAGAACCCCATGGTTGCTCAGTGACTTGCACAACTCACAATCACAATAATAGGCCTGGAGGCAGCACCAAACCCCCTACTTTTTGAACAGAGAGCCCTTTAAACTAGATCACCCTTCTTTTTAGCTTCTATTTCCTCTGTGGCAATACATAATCAATCCAATAAGCATAGCAACTCTACTGCATTTTTTTAGGTATTTACCATTATAACCACTGACTCAGTAAACTTGTTTTCATGTATTAAAAACGCCAGGATGGTGTACCAAAGTATCACCTTTTGTTAAAGCAGAATGACTGCTTCTAAGAGATATGACAGAAACTTCTTAAGATGTTTCTCTAACAAGCTGATTCCAGAAAACCCAGCACAATGTCAGCGACCACGTGAGGCTGGACAGACTGCTGGAGGTTTTGTATAATCGGCCTCTGAGGCCTGCATTGCATTGGCAAAGAGAAATGACTACCCGAAAACAGCCTGGCCCGAGGGTACAGGAAGAATGTAGGAGGTGTGAAGGTAGTTCTGGGAAAGGGACCACACCCGCTCTGAACATTCTGCAGGCTGGTAGGATGACTGGAACTTCTCTAGTAATAGAGAACTAGAATGCTGTAGGTCTTTTGGGCTGTCTTTCATGCCTTCGATTGTAATTTATTGATAACTCTGTGTTTGACATAAATTCCTTTTGACTTTCAGGTAAAATCTTTTTAGCTTCCACCATCCCAGAGGTTAAGATGACACCAGAGGCTTGTAGCAGAAGTGTCCTTGCTTTGCTGATATTCCTGAAATAACTGATATTTCAACTGATGTAGACTTTAAATGCCTTAGTTTATACCTTTTTTTTTTCTGTCCCATTCCTACAAAACAAAACAAAACAAAAAAAAGCATGAAGCTGTTACTACATTGGTTCATGATATTTGAAGTCATCTAAGTCCGTGTCCTCAGGCCGTGGCGTCTCTTATTTGGCTCCAGAATCCGCTATGCCTCATTCTCTTGAGGCGAGCACTATGGTTTTGCTTCAACAGCACATACATAGCTGCTAAGAGGGGGTTTTATAAGGTAGCTAAAGTGTAGGGCTTCAAAGGTCTCACTGGTGTCATTCAAAAAGCTACCTTTTTTTTCTAAGAATTTCCCAAATATTGTCCTGATCAACACTGCCATAGCAAAATAATTTTAAGTGTTTATTATGTGGTTCAGTATTGCTAACACTGGTTTAAATCATTATTTCATTTGGTTTTAACAGTAACCCCACAGTATGTGTTTTAAAACCAAAATTCAGGTTATATTTAAAAACAAGAAATAGCTTCAGTCTTCCTGTGGAAATAGAGTCTCCTTGTGTAGATATTTTTACTGAGATCTTAATTTTTATTGAGAATTTTGAAGCAGTTCTAAGTCTCGTGGTATTAAAGTTCTGACATCATATTTATATTTTGATCTATTTCCTAACATTTCGATTTCATTCATGAAACCCTGTTTATTTTATTAGCCTATTCTAGCAAGTTACTTGCCAGTGTTAGCTTAGATACCATTTTCACGCTTCTTCGAGGAAGTAACTTGAATGGAATCATTACAATATTTCAAGATTCATACAGTCAGAAAGAGTCAGTTGATACAGAAGTGAAAAATCTCCCGTGAGCTAGTGGAAAGTTGTGTTATAATTCTATGCCCCCTAGTGGTACTGACATTTTACCATCATTCTTCAATGAGGATTTAAAGACACATCCTTTATGAAATACTTCCATGTATTTATTACTTCTGTATGCAATTGTTAATCAATAGGTGTCTTACTAGCTGAAGCGGTACAAAGATAAAAACAGAAATAGCCCAGGTTCTTACCGTCCAAATCAGATGGGAAAGATGGATAAATCAAGTAGTTATAACTCAGTGAGGAGTTCAGAAAAGGTTCTGCAGAATGTCATAGGAAGCTACAGAGGATTTTCTGAAGAATGAGATAGATGAGTAAGGTGTTGAGGAAGAAGCAGACTATGATGAAGACAAAGGGACAGAATCTTGGGAGAGACAATGTTGAAGGAAGCAGAACGGATCGTGTGTTAAGAATGACAAGTAGTTGGATTACACTCCAGCTAGGTCACTTCTGAGGCAAAGCTCTAAGCAGGAATCAGGAGAACCACCAGAAGATCTCTATGGCTCAGGGACCAAATTAGGATTTTATGATTTTATCCTGTAGAAAACATTACCTATAAGGCCGGGCGGTGGTGGCGCACGCCTGTAATCCCAGCACTCGGGAGGCAGAGGCAGGCGGATCTCTGTGAGTTCGAGACCAGCCTGGTCTACAAGAGCTAGTTCCAGGATAGGCTATTTTAAATAGAATGAGAACACTCACTTTTTTTGCAGTTGTAATGCCTTATAAATTTTTCTGCATCCTTCTATCAATCTGATCAAATCTCATTCAACTCATTTCTTATTTACCCCAATATAAGTTTCCTCTT